CCCTATATACTTTATCGCAACAAAACCATGATAATTGGGAGAAACAAATTCTCCTAATTATTTATATTGCAGATAGAGAGAACCCAACTATTAATAATTGCCCGTCCGACCAGGTTATACAACTAGCAAGTAGTGAACAAAGTAGAACGATTACACTTCCTGACTCAACTGTGTGGGACGCAATTGATAGTGATCCAGAAAAAATAGTCCTGTACGATTCGGATGAGTTTTTTCCTGGAAAGACTAGCATTACTCACATCTACACGGATTTTTCCTGTAACAGAAATATATGCGAGTTTACAGTCACATTAGGTTGGTATTTCTTGTAAAATCAATTAATCAATACATTCATTCATTTATTCTTTATTCCACATGTTTTTTTTTTCTTTATCATACAATACACAATGTTTGGTAAAATCAACTAAGTATACAGCACACCGAGAATTGCCAATCAATCAGGCGATCGATCGATCGACCGATCGATAGACATCAGTCAGTCAGTCAGCCAATCAGTTAGTCAGTCAGTCAATCAGTCAGTCAGTCAGGCATTCATTCATTAATTCATTTAGTTAGTCCGTCAGTCAGTCAGTCAATCAGTCAGTCAGTCAGTCAGTCAGTCAGTCAATCAGTCAGTCATTCAGACAATCAATCAGCCAATCAGTCAATTAGTCAGTCAGTCAATCAATCAGTCAATCAATCAATCAATCAATCAATCAATCAATCAATCAATCAATCAATCAATCAGTCAATCAATCACTCAATCAGTGAATAATCAATTAACCAATTATCGATCATCAATCAAGCAAATTAATCAATTTACTTATTCATTAATTCATACATTCACGTATTTGTTTTCTTTTTCATACAATAAAAAATGTCACAATTTGTGGGGAAGGAAAACAGCAAGTGAAGCTTTTAACAATGGATCTCTTTTTAAATAACTATTATATAATGGAAAAAAAAAACCCAGTAATTTTATATGCAATAATGGTAATAAATGAAAAATTGATAAATACACAAATAAGATTTCAATCAAAAAATCAATTAGTTATTTATTTGATGGCACAATCGATCAATCAATCGATCAGTCAGTCAGGCAGCCATTCAGATAATCAATCAGTCAATCATTATATTGATCAATCAATGGTACAGAAACAACACCCATTAATACAATTCTATAAAATGTGATCAATCATGCCTTTTTTTAGTGTTAATTCTGATCACTGTATATTTATGTATTATTTATTTTTGAAATACGTACTCTCATAAATAACTTCTTATATAGGCTCACGCGTGACAAGTAAAGCCCTTTTCTATTGTTGATTCTGATCACTGTATAATCAATCTGTGAATGTTATTATTCATCCAGTAAGTGTTAAGTTAAAATTGTATTTTAATAAAAAAAAAAAAAGCTGGAACTTACTATAATTAACGTTGAGTGACGTTTCGTCCAGCTCCGCTGAACTTCTTCAGACGACTGACCCGTTGGATTGATCACGAGTCAGCTGGCGAGGAATGCTGCGCAGTAGCGGGTCCCAAGTCCTGGATAGTTGAAAACGGAGTCCTCCTTTTCGGTTCAAACTAGGGTCCTCTACCCTCTCCCAGATCGCCTCTTTAACCCCTCTTTCGAACCACTTATCCTCTTTATCTAGGATAAGAACGTCTGGTTTGGATGTGTGTCCAGAAGTTTTGAGGTGTTGGAAGACTGCCGATTCTTGTGCTTCACTTGTATTAGGTCTGCGATGTTGGTTGACTCTGGCTCGTAAAGCTTGCTGTGTCTCCCCTATGGTTTCGCTGCAACCTGGTGATGAGCACTTAATCCCATAGCCAACGTGTGAAGTTTTCTCTTTTGGTGTTCTGTCCTTTGCTTTTACTAGTTTCCCTCGGAGGGTATTGATTGGTTTGAGACTAGATTGAATTCCAAACTTACGTAGTGATTTCTTGATTTTCTCTGAGTATCCCTTAAATATGGCAATATGACTCTAGCATTAATGTTTTTAGTGGTGGGGGTTTGGCGTTTCTTTTCTGGGTTATGTCTATTAGCCTTTTGAAATGCCCAGAAAGGATACCCGCATTTCTTTAAGGCGTTTCTAATGTGTAGTTTCTCATAAGCTATCTCTCCTGGGTCAGAACTGCATTTGCTCTGTATTCTAGTGTGGTGATAATTCCTATCTTGTGTATAAGGGGATGGTGTGAGTCAAACTGCAAGTAGTGATCGGTGTGGGTAGGCTTCCTGTACACCTTCGAACTTAATGTTCCCTTTTCTTTTACGGTAATAAGCGTATCAAGAAAAGCAAGCTTGCCATCAACTGATTTATCTTGAGTAAACTTAATATTTCCGTCTAAATTGTTTATGAAATTGAAGAAAGATGTATCTTCATTTTTCTCAAGGATAACAAACGTATCGTCTACATATCGTAACCATAACCGTGGAGGTGATCCCTGATAGGTTTCAAAGATACATTGTTCAAAATTTTCCATGTAAAGATTAACAATTATAGGGGAAATCGGTGATCCCATAGCACATCCATGTTTTTGGATGTAGAAACTGCTGTTGTAAGAGAAATAGGTCGTACTTAAGCACAAATCAAGTATATCAATAATTTGATCCACCGATAGATTCGTTCTTTAAAAACCAAAATAGAGGCCTAAACATCACTGTATAATGTTTAGGCCTATATTTTGGTTTTTAATTTTGTTATTATTCATAGTAATAATGGAATGATCAATCTATATCATCCTCTTTTTTGTGATTTTGATTTTATAAAATTATAGTGTTCATCATAATGGACCTTTCCGCTAAGCACCGCCCGTTGGATATTGTTGCCAAGGTCCCACAAAACGACAGCTACTCGCCTGGTTTTCACGAGAGCCCTAGTATCCTGATCGGGAGCTACCCGTTAGCGCTAATACGGTTAGCAAGCGCTATCGGTTAGCAAGTTGAGGGCGTTTCTATCATCAACCAATCACACGTCCGCGTTTACAATTTCCAGTTTCTTATTGGCCAGTGATTTGATCATCATATTGTTGGTATCCGGATCGGGATTTTCTCGCATGGACGCACGGCAGCTAACGGTTAGCAGGATCCGGATCCTGCTAACCGTTAGCTGCCGTGTGAGAACATATCCCGGATACTGCTAACGGTTAGCGCTAACCGATCGGGCGTTCTCACGCAGGTGCTAACGGTTAGCTCCCGATCCGGATACTAGGGCTCTCGTTAGAACCAGACTTAAGTGTGTTAAAACATACACAAACATGTACGTTTGTGGGATAACACGTGTGCTTGTTAGACATGCGCGTATTCCTGGCCCTGATTTGATTGGTCAGTTGCTAAGCTTGACACTCCAGGGAAGGTCCACTACAGTAATTGTTGTGATAATGATGCCAATAGTATTAATGTCGATGACGGCGTTATTTCACAAATTGACTATAATAAAATTGAAGATTGTTCGATTCCATTGACAGTAAACTAACTCATAACTCATTGCTAACAGCAATTGATAGACCATTAATGCGACATATCGATTGTATTATGACTTCCATATAATGCTTATTTTCCTGCTACCTGATAATTTTATTTTAATGACTTCCATATAATGCTTATTTTCCTGCTACCTGTGGAACAAAGAATATCGTAAGTACCAAACATCATTGTATCATAGTTTTGCCTGATACAATCCAAATACACCTTAGCTAAGTATTTAAATGTAATACGATAGAAAAAAGAGTTACACTCTGTATGTAGATTGCGCAGTAGGTAATAAGTAAAATTCTTTATCCATTAGCTTAGCAAACACCCAGAATTCGAGTCGTTTGGTCGCTGCGATTGAACTAACTTCCCATATAATATCGTACGCCGAATTGCTCTATAAATAATGCATTTTTGTTACTATTTCTCTATTTTAACTAAACAGTTCTTGTAAGGGCATAATGGTGTACAAACTTTTATTTGGAAATGCATCAATATGTTAATAATTAGGCCGTTTTTAAGGTTCGTACCAAAAACGGTACTATTTATACGGCTGATAATTGACAAGAAAAACAGTTTATGTTCTAATCTTAAATTCTCAATTGAAAGATTTAAAACTAACTTCCAATATAATCTGGTATGATAAATTGCACTATAAATAAAGCACTGTATTATATTTCTCCAATTAATCAACAGTTCTTGTAAGCGCATACCAGTAATGGTTTACAACATTTTACTTTGAAATGCATAAATAAGTTAATAATTAGGCCTTTTGTTAAGGCTTTTAACACAAATCGGTATTATTTATACGACTGTTACTTGAAGAGAAAAATATTATAAGTTCTAATCTTAAATTTTCAATTCAAGATTAATGTAGTTAAATATACAAAGTAAGAAATTAAGATATTGAGTTTTTAATTTTTATGTTCACGTGTAATAGCTCAACACAACAATAATATTATTGTTAACGAACCATAGGGGGAAACGTTAACAATGGAAAGGGTTAGAAACAATACCATAAGGCGAAAATACTGACGCTAAGGCGAAATGTTAACGACGTTAAGGAGAAATATAGACAAAGGCTTTTTCTCCCTAGGTGTCAGTTAGAAGCTTAGATATCCATAGGGGGATACTAAAACAATGAAGAGGGTTAAAAACAGTACCTTAAGGAGAAAGTAGTATCGCTAAGGGGAAACTAAAACGACGATAATGAGAAATCCCTTAAGCTGTCTCTTATACACATCTAGATGTGTATAAGAGACAGTAATAAGTGTTGGAGAGTCACTGGTTCTTTAATGTGGTAGGCCTATGTATTGTATTGAGGATTGGGCAAACATATTTAAATAATTTATGTTCATAGATTGTGTATTTTTACATTTAGTAATCAGGAAGCTTCAATGGAAGTGAGTTAATTTTGCAGTATTCCTTACTTGTATTTCTTGTTAAATTCCCAAAAAGCTACGGATCCTGATCCTGGAGCCGAATTAGCAATGGCATGTCCTAACAACCAAATCTTAAGAACAGACAGTGGTCTTAACGGTGCAACCGTAACATGGACTACCCCGGTTGTCAACATGGGAGGCAGTGATCTACCTATTACAAGTTCTCATCAACCAGGCGATTTTTTTCTGATTGGAATAACAAACGTAGAAATTACTACAACATACAGTGGTGTTGTCGGATATTGTATGTTCACTATATTAGTTGAAGGTACGTAAGTTCAGTATATCCCATGCACTGCGTCAACAGCCGACGACACTACATAAGACCATCATACCATATGACGCGTCGTTTAACGATGAGAATACCACACTACGACGCTTTGCGCAACGGACGGATCTTTTTTCAAAGACGATTTGCTTGGCATTGACGCGGCGGCCAGCGGACGACTGAGGCATCATTGGTATAATATACACAAACAACTTCTCATAAAAATAACAATACTAACATTTCAACAATTCAGATTCGCCTATTTAAAACACATAGTACAATTCTAAGAACAATCCAATAATTTAATTATACGCCGCTCTATACATCGACGGTGGCGCCCATTTGGTCATTACAGAATTTTTGTTCCCTTTTTTGTTGTAGTTATTATTGGTAAATACATTAAATCTAAAAACATCTAAAATATTGATTTTTTTTCCATGTATTTTGTTTTTTGAAACACAATACTTAATAATTTATATATCTGCATATTTTCAGACAGGGAAAATCCTGTATGGGTTCACAGTTGTAATACTGAATACTTCGCCCTACCGATAGGTGCAGCGACAATGATTTACCCAACAGTAATCGCCACAGATAATTCCGGTGTGCTTGAAGTTGTTTGCTTTTCACAGGTTTGTACAGGTTCCGAACTTGAACCAGGAAGTTATTATGTTGGGTATTACGCAACCGACGAGGGAACATGTACATACAGACAAAAGTGTGAATTCTACGTTACAATCGGAGGCAAGTTTATGCATAAGATTCAACTTGTTTTTTTTTTCTTTGTGTACACAAAATCACTATAATATGTTTACGGCTCATTTTCACTAATGATTTATTAAGCTACCACCCTGACCTTCCAAAAAAAAAAAAAATTAAAAAAAAATCACTGCGTCACGTACGACGAATCTAACTCCTCTTCCTGTGAGCATTAGACGACGCGCGATGCCGTCTGGTGATTGTTGCAGTCTGAGAACAGATCGTCATTGCACGCTCGTCGTGGCGTTGCGTTCTTTATAAATCGCGTCAACTGCAGCCAACGACCTTCGGGCCAGTACCCAGCTTAAAGGCCTGTTTATACTTCAACGATAACGACAACGATAAAATAGCTAGAAAGCAATTGTTCATATGGAAAATAAAAGAAATAAGAGAAGTTTTTACACTAGAACGATTCGATAACGATTTATCAGTTATGCGATAACAACATATTTTGACAAATCAAATCAGATGACGTCATAATCATGAAAAACATTAAAATTGTAGTAGGATAGCAAAGATGTTATCGTTTTTCCATGATTACGATGTCATCTGATTTGATTTGTTAAAATATTTTGTTATCGTATACACGATAAATCGTTATCGAATCGTTCTAGTGTAAACACTTCTCTTTTTCTTTTGTTTTCTATATCAACAATCGCTTTTTAGCTTTTTGATGGTTATCGTTATCGCTGAAGTATAAACAGGCCTTTAGACTTTTTGGTTGCGCGCCGACAGTATAAAATCTAGAACTAAATGACGGCACATAGACTCGTCTGCACATGTTCATACATTAAATTGTAAATTCACCCTAAGAATGATTTCCCCCTGATCCTGGGTCTCGAGCATTCAAAAACTCATAGAGTTACTGTTTCGTCACGATGAAAAGTTCCATGGCGAACGGTGTAGTCGTTGTTCCTGTTTATTTTGTCTTATTGGGGCTACGGGGTTAAATAATTTGATTTAATATTTATGCGTTTGTTTTGAACAATTACAGTGAACACACAGAATACAATTTTAATTGGTCTTGTAAACGAATGTACAGGAAATATTATGAAAGCGTGTTAGAAAATAAGAGACAATTCAATTGATCACTTTCTAATGAGTTTCATAATTGGGGCGTTATCCGTACCGGTATATCATAAAAATATTCATTATCTCAACTGGTTTTGATTTTTTTTTACAATTCTGTTGCAGACGAAGAACCTCCAGCTATAACATGCCCGGATGCGATTACTGGTGTTGCAGATCCGAACCAGTCGTATGCAGCTATGACTTTAGATAATGCCGAGGCCACGGATAACATAGGCGTGACTCACCTGAGTTGCAACCAATTCGGTTCGTCCCATCTGAATATCGGACTGACAACAATAACATGTACAGCAAGAGACGCTGCAAATAACCAAGCTCAGTGTACATATGACGTCACAGTTACTGGTATGAAACGATCTGCGAAAAAGATAATAAACTTGATAAATTCAATTTTGGCAACTATTTGAGTTTCTTACTTTGAAAATTTAACCTGTTATTATTTTTCAATATGAAATTACAAGATAATATTCTTCTGTTTCCGAAAACACTAAAATTGGCTGGTATTCAACTCAAAGATTTCAGTATAAAGTAAAGTATCAGCCAAAACTAACTAGTTACGATCTCTGTCTGTAAATTTCTTAATTGAGTTGGTTCTTAATATGTAATTTATTGCGATAATTTAATCTTAAAGGGTTCTCTGCAAATTTTTATCAAAAACTGATTAGGCATCTAATGAATAATAATATTGTAGGGTATGGTTATATAGTAGGTCTAATATACATGGCTGTGTTAAACCAGGAAACAGTGATAATGAATTTGTGAACATAAATTCGAAACAGGAATCTTTAATTCAGATACTGATAATAATCTTATATTTTCAGATACACAACCACCTACTATCAATTTTTGTCCTGCCACCGTGGAAGTCACTGTCTCACCTTCAGCTTCTTCCGCTGCCGCTTCCTGGTCAAACCCAACTTTTGTAGATAACTCCGGAGTTTCACCCTCCGTGACAAGTTCGCACAATAGTGGCGACACATTCCCTTTAGGTGATACGACCGTGACGTTCACCGCCGTGGATGATGCTGCCCTCACAGTCGAATGTACATTTATCGTAAGACTAGAAGGTAATTCGAATAATTATGTAAGCCCTATATAATTTGAAAAAAGGGCAGAGAGAAAAGTAATACGCCTATAATATACAGGATAAGAGCAGGTATTTACAATTTGTGTTGTATATTATACCTATATTTCTATTACGTTTGGGGTTTTTTGCAGATAATACACCACCTGCGTTTACAAACTGTCCATCAAATATCATCGTTAACACCAGTCCTGGTGAGGCAGCTGGTTCTGCATCATGGGATGTGTTGGAGGCTACGGATAACAGTCTGGTTGCGCCAGTTATAAACGACGCGTCGCATATTGGCGGAAATTATCCGATCGGGGACCACAATATAGTGTTCACAGCAACTGACTTCTCAGGAAACTCGGACACTTGCGAATTTACCGTCACAGTCATAGGTATATTTGAGTACTTTCTTAATAAATAGTTTCCATATAAATATGACCTACGTACTTGTGATTGCTGATGAACTAGGTGGAAGACTTCTGTATTATTATTCGTAATATCTCTGTAACTCCTATAGTTGTATTAAAAAAGAGGTCTCTGGTGGGAATCGAACCCGCAATCTCTCGCTATCTCGGCGAGCGTCATACCGTTTAGACCACTAGTCTCTCTCCATTCATACAACTTGAGGGCTCACTCATGTGGAAAAACTTTTTTTTTTATAGGTAGAAGCTGGTAAATCATAGGAAATAATAGTCAAATCATGTTTTTGCCGATTAGCAATGGGGGACACAAATAATAATATATAAATCAAACAGTGCTCAAATATATAAGAACATAATGTTATCAAACATACTTCGAACTTTCGTTATGAACTGATCAAATCCGATGGGTGACAATTCATTTCGCACTCTATGGTATGCCAATACAACACTAGTTGATGCACACACGTTAAACAGGGATCAATTGATCTCCGAAGAGATACTTTTGTTAACTGAGAAATGTAACACGTGAAGAGATAAACTCTAAATCATATTGCGGTAATTATATATATGATATAGGCCTAATACATAATATAATAGCATTGTAAAATGTGTTTTTTTTTTTAGATAATGAATCTCCTGTGTTTACTAACTGTCCTGAAGACCAATCGGTGCCAACGGATGCATTTCTACCTACGACCACCGTAACTTGGACCGAGCTTATCGCAACGGATAACTCGGGTTTAAATCCCAACATACACCAGACGCACCACCCCAACGACGTGTTTAGACTGGGATCAGAATATGTTGTATACACGGCCTCAGATTTCAGCGCAAATAATGAACAGTGTATCTTTTCCGTAACAGTTTTTGGTAAGCACGTGTTAATCTAAAGTAGGCCTAATCGTGACTGTAAAATAAGATGATAAACAATGGCGGATCCAGCAATTTGAAGTAGAGGGCACTCGGGTAGGGAATTTGTACAGATGGAGGGTCCTGACTACATCAGCCCCACCGATGTTGGGACTGAGGTATACATTTTGTTGTCTGTGGTACCAACAGATTGCTGGAATGGCACGCACGCTCAATCAAGTAAAATGTATTCACAAATTACGTAATTTGCATAGGCATCAAAAGAGGTTGTTGCTTGTCAGTTACATGGAAGGACAAATAAATTGAAATTTAATTTGGGGTCGCCCACAACAATTGGTACCTCCCGGAAGGGGAAAGGCCCCAATGAACATTACGCAACATTAATAATACCGTGCACCAAGACAAACATGAATTTGAATGAAATTTTCATTTTTCTTTTATTTGAAAAAAAAAATGGGGGTGGTGAGGCTCTGATATGTAGGCCTACTCACAGTGGAACAATGAAATATATCCTTATTTTATCTTTTATTTATTCAATTGTTGTGTCTGATGTTACAGATTCTGAAGCTCCTATATTCCATAATGGACCAAGTAACGTAGTCGTCAACACGCAGCCAGGTCTACCTTCAGCCCCCGTCACGTGGCCGCTGGCAGATATTGCACAAGACAACTCACAAGAGTATCCTACCGTCAATTGCACCTACATCTCAGGACATAACTTCAGATTTGGAAACTATTCTGTAGATTGTACTGCTACAGATGCTGCGGGGAATTACGCTGTTCACACATTTCATGTGGCAATAATAGGCGAGTTTTTGTTTATTAAGATTTCCATGGCATACTAGTATAAAAGTATTCTCATACAGACATAACCCTCTTTCCTTTCTGCACACCAAAAACATAAGTCAACTGGCCAGTTTACCAGTTGATAATTCATTTTTCCCATATATGGTGTGTTCTTTTTTGTACATCGAACGCTTCAATAGGCATTCTATGATTCTATCTAGGATTTTATCTTCACCATCGCCATCTTCATCATCACTATCATCATCACCATCATCATCATCATCATCATCATCATCATCATCATTACAACCACTACCACCACCACCATCATTATCATCAGTGTAAAAGGGTTTTTTTTTTATACCATACAACATTCAGCTAAATATTTCAACCTTTTTTTAAACTAGACGAAGAAATTCCCTCATTTCTCAGTCAACCTGAAGACATTCTAGTTGAAACGGATCCCTGGCAACCGTATGCACATATAGATTGGGCTCTCCCAAGCGTGTTCGATAACTCCATGGAAGAAGTGTTCATCAATTCTACTCATCATCCTAACACGACATTTCCTATCGGAGTAACCACAGTTACCTATTGGGCATTCGACTTATTCAAGAACGTCAATACATTTTCATTCAATATAACTGTAATAGGTAAAGTTATTAAAATTTCTGCTATTTGTCATTCGATTTGTTTGATTAATTATGCATGGTTAACTAAAAGTGAGTAGACTGCAAGAATTATTCGTTCATAATTTTGTTGATCCAATTAATTAATGTAATTAATGTACTACGTAATTTTAAAAGACATTTTATTTCTGGAATTCAGAATTTACAAGACAATATAATAATGATTTTAAGCAATTCATATAATAATTTTGCAAATTTCTTATATAAAAATGTCAATATTTAATACCGGTCTCCCTCCAATTGAAGACCCCTCTAATTAAAGACCACCTCTAATTAAAGACCAAATGAACAAATGTCTTTCAACTTTGTTATTCTAATTAGAGACCAAAACTGCTAAAGACCACAGAATCCCCGGTCCCAAAAGTGGTCTTTAATTGGAGGGAGACATGTATATATATACACATGAACCATAAAAATATATATTGATAATTAATATCAAAGTCTATGTCAAATAAGTTTATTTTGCATCAACATATTCATTGAATTATATTAACTTCGTTTTTTTTACAGATATGGAATATCCGGTATTCTACAACCTAACTCAAAATATAAGTGTTCTGACCGAAGAGCGTGTACATTATGCGCATGTCAGCTGGGATGTTGTTGATGTATGGGACAATTCTGGTGAACCGCTAAATATTACGTCCGACTATCATCCCGGCGATATATTCTATGTGGGCGAAACATGGGTGACATATACAGCTATTGACAAATCGGGAAATATCGATATGTATTCTTTTAGTATTCTTGTCATAGGTGAATATACCAACTATTTTTTTTGAACAATAAACGATTATTTAATATCTAGCTATCTTATATGAACTCAATTGATTCCTTTAGCCTATAAACAAGCCGCTACCGACTTCTGCTATTTAAACGTATTCCGTTTCACATTCTAATCTGACACTTAGTATATTTATAGTTGATATTTATATATTTATTCATTTATTAGGTGAAACTATTAATAATTTAATCCATTCTGTGCTATAAAGCGCATAGAGGTATTTTACATTATGCGCTATATAAGTTGACAATTATTACAGTTCAAGATGGGCTTCGTCGCGAGATCAAGCCCACTGGGCTTCCATCCCTGGTTTTACGGCATCGTTATTATTCTAACGTTTGTATAACTGTCGTTATGTACCATGTGATAGAGAAGTTACAAGTCATAAATTATATTTGATTCATTTCAGACAAAGAACTCCCAGAGGTTATATACTGCCCTCCCGATATAACCATTGAGACATGGTACCGGTCTCCTTATGTTAACGTAACATGGACGTCACCAAATATCACAGACAATGTTGGTGTTTTAGAAATCGTATCGAACTACCATTCAGGATATGTGTTCCACCTCGGAGTAACAACAGTTGTTTACAATGCAACAGACACAGCTTTGAACTTTAACCATTGCCATTTTAATATAACTGTTATAGGTAAAAATGTAATTTTTACTTATTGATATAGACATAAATATTGATCATTTTGTTAAAATGTCACTTTCCTAACAACTTTTAAACTTTGTGACGATCACACCTATGAATCTAGGACTTTGGCATCAGTATTTTTTCACAATAATTCATTATCATTATCAGTCAACATGAATGAACTGCGTTCATTATTTTCTTAACCATGACACAGATGTTGAGAAGCCCTACTTTGAAAATTGTTCCTTGGACATTGCGGTACCAAACATTCCCGGATCAGCATATTCTAATGTAACTTGGACAATACCGACAGCCTACGATAACTCTCAAATCCCTCCTCATGTTACCTCGGACGCTGATTCCGGTGATGTCTTTCCACTGTACGATACTATTGTAACATATACAGCAGTCGATGAAAGTAACAATGTCGAGTTGTGCCGTTTCAAAGTCACTGTAAAAGGTAGGTCATATATATATCTGTCTCTTATACACATCTAGATGTGTATAAGAGACAGCTGCAAGAATTAAGACCAATATTTCGGACATGCCTCTGTCCCCCTTTAACGTTTACACGTATGAATGACAAACACAGAAAAGATCAAACTAAAAACTGTATTAGAATAAATCATAGGATAATAGGTACGCAATTAGTAATTTTGTAGCCACTCTAGCGGTATGACAATTGCCCTGTTACCGCGTGGTTGCCGATTGTGTGGGCCTGTGTGTGTTTACGATATTAATAAATAACAGCATCCATTAACAATACCTATTATTTTAATACAGATGTTGATTTACCGTATTTTACCAATTTCACCGATGATGTTCAAGTATTCCTCGACTCAATTCATTCAAACGTAACAGTTGATTGGGACCCACCATATCCGGCCGACAATTCGGGAGTATTACCCCTCCTTGAATCAACTCATCAACCTGGGGATACGTTCCAAGTCGGCGTTACTATGGTAACGTATACAGCTACTGACGAAACAGGAAACACGATGATACACACATTTACAGTCAAGATACGAGTTGCCTTTACAGATCTAAAGACAATTGTAAATATTTCAATTGATATTGATATTTTTTTTTGTAAATTATGATCAAACCTCGTAAGAATTTAATTAAAATATTGCATTGTTTATTTGAAAGTATATAACCAGAGGTAGCGCCAGCAGGTGGGAAAGCTGGGCCCCCGTCAGGACGCGCGGCCCAGTTGTCGCGGGGTCATGTTAAAATCTGTTGGGGAACAGTTAATTAAAATATTTTCTCAGCAAGTCTAAGAGTGCCCTTTTTGGACATCTAGATGTGACATTCTCGGTATATTTGCCTCACTGCCTAACTGTGGTAGGACATATGTGGGCGTGGTCCATCTGTCGGGAGCGACCCCTGAGTTAATTCTACTAATAATAATAAACTAATTTTAATGATAGTCTTTCCTAAACAAACGTATTTAAATTCAATAGTTATTCAACGGAACAGATGATGTGGACATTTTACAAGTATCAGCCATTGCTGTAGACAGAGGAAAAGGCCGCGATCTTACTGACAACGAAATCGACGATTTAGAAGTAATGTTGCTATCAATGTCATCAGCGTCGGAGGATGTAGGGAATAGGGAGCCAAAGGTTATGACAGAGGTGTGTATTTGACAGTGGTACTTGGAAAATAACAAAACAGTAGATGTGGAACTTTTTACATCTTTACAAAAACATACTCCTTCAGCATGAACACAACTATGTATTTAAAGTATAATATGAAAAGAAAGGATATATAAAATAAAAATGAATTAACCTAACGTTTGTACATATATGCAGATTACACATCATTTAAATATTAAAATGAGTGATTTATAAATTGCTAATATCAACTAATATTACAATATTAACTTCACAGCAGTTAACAAAGCAATGATAACAAGGTATATTTTAAAGCGCCATATGGGTAAAAATAACCCACATGTATTTCCACTGTTTGTACAGAGGTAATGTAATAAAAAGTCCTTAAAATTCATAATCTAACTTATTCTAAATCTTTGTTTAAGGAAATAATTAACGTGACAACTACAGTTATCGACCGCAAAAAGGTAAGTAAAATTGTTCTTTTTACGAAAACAATCTGATTATTGATCATAAGCGTTTCCAAGACAGCGTATGAGCTATAATCAATTATTGGGATATTCAATCCCGCGGAAAATGTGCGTAAGTGCTAATGCTAATTGATGAGGCGATCGACTGTAGGCTATCGTCTGAACTTTTGGTTAATAAAGTATTCAGCTATTAATTAAATTCAATGTTTAAGATCAACAAATGGTAAGTAATACTCCTTTATAAACTGCCCGTTTCTTGAGTATTGTCACTAAGGTCCAAAAGGAGAGCATAGACCTAGGCCCTACATAAAACTCGTGTGTTTACGAGACATACGCTTGTTCCCTGGGACTTTTGTGGCCGGGTCAGTTGTTAAGTTTGTTTGGCCCGCAGCTACATTTCTCTTTACTGCAATCACGTATTAAAAATACAATTGAATTTACAAAAATGTACTATAAAATTCTATAAAATACATAAAAATTCTAATTAAAAATTCAAAAAAGTCATTCAGTCATATAAAAATAACACAAAAATTCAAATTCAATATTCAAAATTGAACAAATCAGAAACAAGCAGACAGAATTACATAAAACAAAAAGTAGCAAAATTAAATCAAAACGAGAACACAAAAGGCGTAAAACAAGAAAAACATGAAACAAAGAAACACAAAAAAAAAAAAAAAAAAAGAAGACCGACGAAGAGGAAAATTTGAAACATTAAGAGAGCCATTGGTCAAGGATGGAAATCATATAGTGAATTACCATTCTTTAAACATGTAACTACACACAATTTAGAAGCAAGTAAAATATTCTTTAACTCTTTTTATGTACAGAACATGGTTCATCAGATTGATCTAGTTTTAGCATCCGAGATTCTTTTAAAGGAAATCGTGACAAGACAGACAAACACAACCTTGAAAAAATCATCTAAAACAGTGGGTAGGTATTATTATACATATTACTATCATTTATTATTGCTATTATCATTATAATTATTATTATATAATTAAAAATCATTTATTAATATCATTGTCATTTGTTATTATTAATAATAATATAGGCCTATTATTAAGCATTAATATTATTTTTATTATTATTATTATTATTATTATTATTATTGTTATTATTATTATTATTATTATTATTCTTATTATTATTATGTCTATTATTATTATGTCTATTAAATTCTTGTTAATAACATGAAACATTTCTTTATTTTTCTTTACTAAACAGCATCTAACATCGAACCAGTGGAGAATGCAATTTGGTCTTTCCATTTTCAGGCCAAAGAAAAGAAGTTGGACTCATCGAGGGACAATTCCAAAAAAGCTAAAAATAATGCCAAAGGATTTGTGAGAGTAGATCCAAGCTCGGCAAAAAATGTCCCAGGTAAAAATATATGAACTTCAGCAACTTTAGGAGGTTTCCACTGACTCCGTATACATTGTATTCAATATACCGGTTTTCGCTTAATTGTTATCAGTATGTTTCGTTTGTCTTAAACAAGTTTTTTTTTCTCGATATATTTCGTTTGGCTTAGAAAGTGCAGCGATTATCGTAACATATTATGACAAAGTACTCTTTGAAGAAAGTGAAGGAGATGAGAAATCGGATGTAACTTTCCAACCAGAAGCGTAAGTCCCAATTTATATTGATAATAATGGCCTCTCTCTATCATATACAGTACTCCTATTCGAACAATGTTACCGTCTATAGAACCCCTCCTTTCGGACAACCCTAATAAGAGGACACCACTACATAGGGGGACACAATGTTGTTGGCCGTCAATCAATGAAAATATAATATAACACTATACGGCCAATTAAGGGGACAGTTTTTGGTCCTGGGAAGATGTCCCCTTAATAGGGGTTCTAATATTTTTGTCAGTCTATTTGTTAGCTTCTCTTACACGGCGAATAAAATATCATAAGGCTATGAAATCTTTGTGTTAAATTATCTGTCCATATGAAATATTTTCATTTTGAATGTGTCTGACGTCGTAATTTGGCCTATCTAATGTTTGTATGGACAAGTTTGTGGGCCTACATTCTATTACACTACTGTTCAATGTTTGACATAATGCATTCTGTGGTTTTTTTTTTGTGAAGCGAAAAAGTCTTGGCAGTACCATATGAACTAGCAAGTGGCCGTGGGGAGGCGCTGCTTCTACTGTCGCATTGTTTTTTGGTATTCATTATGGGTATAGCGATCAGAGTGGGTAAGTTCGAATCACAGAATAGACATAGAGCCTTTACATAATAGGCCTAATTCATAAAGACTTGATAATATGTCTACATGCTACTACGTATACCACTACCACTACAGCAAAGCTATTACTGCTAGTAGTACTAATACTACTACTACAACAACTAACATGGTCACCACATACACCTATAGCGGTATCCGAATGTTCTTTTGCAAAGGGAACTAAACTCTTACTCCGGAATCAAACGAAACTTTTAATGTCTAATTTAATCTACGATTTTACATGAACAAATAATATACTTTTTTGTGAATAATGTTTTGAATCGCATATCATTTTAGATGCTGGTTAAGGTTCGAGACTGGAAGTCTAGTAGCATTCATATTTCCAGCTATGGCCCTAATCCTGGTCAGTATTTACTGTCTCGAAATTTAAATATTCATATCTTAATCGAATATGCCTGCGTTGCAGTGGTTGTTCCAGAAGTTTACCAACTGGGCGTCCGACATGTCCAACAGGGAAATTCAATCAGGGTCCCGAAAAAAAGTTCCTGGTATGATTCACGGGGAGAGTTTTTATGGCTCAGTAAATCCCAAATTGTGTTATTAGACCACAACATTAGGGATTGGCAATCAAAATAACGTTATTTGGACAGGCAAATTGTTATTTTTTTGTCCGACGATCTTGTCGTGGCCTCGCACCGCGACGGGTACAGGCCTGTCCAATGGGGAAGGGGAAATGTACCCCACTCCCGGCTGGCTCCATCACTACCGCGTTGAAGCCCTCTAAATACAAATGACATTATTTTATCTTATAATGCCGTTTGATGAGTAGGAAATGTAAAACAAGAATTTAATTCTGTGGTCTAGAGGATTTAAAGCTCGGTTGTCAGAGGTATGATGCCAGGCTAGTGATCTGGAGATCGTGGGTTCGAGTCCCACCCGAGAACAACTTGCATTGCATTTTTTTCGCAATTCTTTTCAAATGTACTGAGTATTCAGTACATTTCCACGTCAGGCAGGGCAAAATTACACCTATACAATTTTCTCCTGACGCAAATCCAGTATTTGTCTATTATTCCATCACGACAGTAACAAATACTATCAAGAATTTAACTATTATAAGGAAAAGTATTAGTAACCTTCCAAATATTCTGTAATATAAGAAAATTATTATATTTTTATTTATTTACCATTAATTTTTTTTTTCAGATTCGGATTATATTAATAGTTTTTATGTTAACGAAAGAAATAAAAGGAAAGAAACGACAAGAATATATTAAAGCTCAAATAAGGTAAATACTGCTACATATGCCTGAAGGAACTCTTTTGTCTCCCTTTTTATCTGTCTTATTTAAAGTTGATAACCTATATGTGATTCTTTCGATAAGCGATATTTCACTGATTTTTTTCACATGCTTTTCCCACAGAGAGTTTAATTGTAATATGATGATTTTATTTGTTTATGCCTAGACGCTGTATAAAATGCAGTTGTTTTTTGATTCCCTACTTCATCCTTACTTGGGTTTTTGCGTTAATGGTGGACGAGCAGTATATATTCTGGTTGATGTTTTATATTCTATTTTCGTTGAATGGCGTATTTGTCGCCCTTTATTGTTACTGTTCATTTGAGGTAATTACTTTTTTGCAAGTATATTTTAGTTACTTATATGATGGAATATAATATCATTGGTTTAAATTTTAAACTGTTATGACTGTCACGGTGTGTGTGTGTGTCCAAAATTAACTTTGAATTCGACGGTTATTTACAGATTACGTTTTCTCTTATAGATGAGTGAAATTCGGCGACAAGATCGGTCATTATCTTCGCAATCACTGAATCGCTCGTCAACCTCTGTCGACAAAATGGTAATTATGCAAGTATACAACTATTAATTTGCTTTAAAAACACGCCATGGGCTTAGTTGTTGAAATTACGTATTCAATGAAAATAAATTTATTGGGCTTTGTTGACGTCAGAAAAAAAATCAACATAGGCCTATATCGAAGTATTTTAGCAATATAATCAAAGCTTGATAGTTTACAATTAGGATTTGTTCCTGTTAATCATATTTGGTATTTCTAAAGTTGTTACTTTGTATTGTATGACGTGGGGGTCTGTAGGCTATATTATTACCATGCAATGTTATTCCGATTCTTTTCGTTAATGTACTTTTCATATCTAATGCCATGTATTTATATTTATGATCTTATAAGAATATGCATTCATATTATTTGTTGTTTTTTTGGCAGGGTGACCCAATAGTATTGGCTTTAGGTAAGTAACTACAATCACAAAACTACAAATATATATATATATATTTATAGCCATAATTATTTGCAATAGATTTGCACAAATATTCATATATTCAAATTGTGATCATTGATTTGCCATTATAACATTTTTATATTGCAAAGCCATTAATTGGCTACCCAAATAGTATTTCAATTTATATCATATTGATGGTATGTTTTGGATGGCATTATTTTGATGATCATGTTATATCCAGAGACACTGAAAGTTGCGCACATGTTGCAGGAGAGCAGCCAGGGTCTAAAACTGATTTAGCTATTAGTAAGACACCGATCATATTTATTCTATTCAGTAATTATAGATATTGTTTGTTCAAATATTGATACCCTTATATATGCTGTCTCTTATACACATCTTAAAGGCTAAACTATGATTATTAACACCATCGCAATGATTAATTTATCCAAAGGGGATTGTTCAAAGAACCGCTGACTATATTTATCCATTCGAACTTGTTGGTTGGAGCACTTCTATTGACGTTAGTGTTTATTGTCAGTTCAGAGACGATGGATTTTCACGTAAGTGAAACCAGGTTTCCATAAAATCGCTTTATTGTTGCCTTTTGACCGTAATCGCTGTCCATGATGCAATCGGGAGGACCAACCAATCAGCGTCATTTAAACAGGTCATTTAAATGGATGAAGTTAAAATTTCCAATAAGACATAGATGGAAGGAAAAACAGTTTAAAGATTCAGACAAAAATAAATGAATCAATTAATTAAAATAATTCTTAATTATTATTTTGAAGTGTTAAAGCTTAATATAAATTTGTGTGCAGTCAGTCTGACTACAATACATTCAGTAAGATGATTAACTAATATCGTATGAAAATGGCAGTTCAGGTGGCATGCTTTTTTTCTTTTCAGATTTTTTGTACTACATTCGGTGTACTGGTTCATTTTTTCTATATGTCTCTTTTAACTTGGTTGATTGTTGAATGCATATACCTGTATATGCTGAAGACCAAAATTCGCTTGGAAGGCAGCATTTCAAAAAAAGCTGGTTACTTTATTTGTGGGTGGGGAGGCGCTGCTTCTACTGTCGCATTGTTTTTTGGCATTCATTATGGGTATAGCGATCAGAGTGGGTAAGTTCGAATCACAGAATAGACATAGAGCCTTTACATAATAGGCCTAATTCATAAAGACTTGATAATATGTCTACATGCTACTACGTATACCACTACCACTACAGCAAAGCTATTACTGCTAGTAGTACTAATACTACTACTACAACAACTAACATGGTCACCACATTCACCTATAGCGGAATCCGAATGTTCTTTTGCAAAGGGAACTAAACTCTTACTCCGGAATCAAACGAAACTTTTAATGTCTAATTTAATCTACGATTTTACATGAACAAATAATATACTTTTTTGTGAATAATGTTTTGAATCGCATATCATTTTAGATGCTGGTTAAGGTTCGAGACTGGAAGTCTAGTAGCATTCATATTTCCAGCTATGGCCCTAATCCTGGTCAGTATTTACTGTCTCGAAATTTAAATATTCATATTTTAATCGAATATGCCTGCGTTGCAGTGGTTGTTCCAGAAGTTTACCAACAGGGCGTCCGACATGTCCAACAGGGAAATTCAATCAGGGTCCCGAAAAAAAAAATTCCTGGTATGATTCACGGGGAGAGTTTTTATGGCTCAGTAAATCCCAAATTGTGTTATTAGACCACAACATTAGGGATTGGCAATCAAAATAACGATATTTGGACAGGCAAATTGTTATTTTTTTGTCCGACGATCTTGTCGTGGCCTCGCACCGCGACGGGTACAGGCCTGTCCAATGGGGAAGGGGAAATGTAACCCCCTCCCGGCTGGCTCCATCACTACCGCGTTGAAGCCCTCTAAATACAAATGACATTATTTTATCTTATAATGCCGTTTGATGAGTAGGAAATGTAAAACAAGAATTTAATTTTGTGGTCTAGAGGATTTAAAGCTCGGTTGTCAAAGGTATGATGCCAGGCTAGTGATCTGGAGATCGTGGGTTCGAGTCCCACCCGAGAACAACTTGCAATTTTTTTCGCAATTCTTTTCAAATGTACTGAGTATTCAGTACATTTCCACGTCAGGCAGGGCAAAATTACACCTATACATGTTTCTCCTGACGCAAATCCAGTTATTGTCTATTTTCCATCACGACAGTAACAAATACTATCTAGAATTTAATTATTATAAAAGGAAAAGTATTAGTAACCTTCCAAATATTCTGTAATATAAGAAAATTATTATATATCTATTTATTTACCATTAATTTTTTTTTTCAGATTCGGATTATATTAATAGTTTTTATGTTAACGAAAGAAATAAAAGGAAAGAAACGACAAGAATATATTAAAGCTCAAATAAGGTAAATACTGCTACATATGCCTGAAGGAACTCTTTTGTCTCCCTTTTTATCTGTCTTATTTAAAGTTGATAACCTATATGTGATTCTTTCGATAAGCGATATTTCACTGATTTTTTTCACATGCTTTTCCCACAGAGAGTTTAATTGTAATATGATGATTTTATTTGTTTATGCCTAGACGCTGTATAGAATGCAGTTGTTTTTTGATTCCCTACTTCATCCTTACTTGGGTTTTTGCGTTAATGGTGGACGAGCAGTATATATTCTGGTTGATGTTTTATATTCTATTTTCGTTGAATGGCGTATTTGTCGCCCTTTATTGTTACTGTTCATTTGAGGTAATTACTTTTTTGCAAGTATATTTTAGTTACTTATATGATGGAATATAATATCATTGGTTTAAATTTTAAACTGTTATGACTGTCACGGTGTGTGTGTGTGTGTGTCCAAAATTAACTTTGAATTCGACGGTTATTTACAGATTACGTTTTCTCTTATAGATGAGTGAAATTCGGCGACAAGATCGGTCATTATCTTCGCAATCACTGAATCGCTCGTCAACCTCTGTCGACAAAATGGTAATTATGCAAGTATACAACTATTAATTTGCTTTAAAAACACGCCATGAGCTTAGTTGTTGAAATTACGTATTCAATGAAAATAAATTTATTGGGCTTTGTTGACGTCAGAAAAAAAATCAACATAGGCCTATATCGAAGTATTTTAGCAATATAATCAAAGCTTGATAGTTTACAATTAGGATTTGTTCCTGTTAATCATATTTGGTATTTCTAAAGTTGTTATTTTGTATTGTATGACGTGGGGGTCTGTAGGCTATATTATTACCATGCAATGTTATTTCGATTCTTTTCGTTAATGTACTTTTCATATCTAATGCCATGTATTTATATTTATGATCTTATAAGAATATGCATTCATATTATTTGTTGTTTTTTTGGCAGGGTGACCCAATAGTATTGGCTTTAGGTAAGTAACTACAATCACAAAACTACACATATATATATATATATTTATAGCCATAATTATTTGCAATAGATTTGCACAAATATTCATATATTCAAATTGTGATCATTGATTTGACATTATAACATTTTTATATTGCAAAGCCATTAATTGGCTACCCAAATAGTATTTCAATTTATATCATATTGATGGTATGTTTTGGATGGCATTATTTTGATGATCATGTTATATCCACAGACACTGAAAGTTGCACACATGTTGCAGGAGAGCAGCCAGGGTCTAAAACTGATTTAGCTATTGGTAAGACACCGATCATATTTATTCTATTCAGTAATTATAGATATTGTTTGTTCAAATATTGATACCCTTATATTTATCATATATCATTCCACGGAGAGGTTACGTGTCGGTCTCTGAACCTCGAGGTCGCGGATTCGAGCCTTTATTGTGCATTTCGCTTGTGTTCAAGGAACTTTACCACATTTGTCATCTCTTCACCCAGGAGTTTAAATGGGTACGCGGTGGTTCAATATTAGGGAGGAAAAAGGCGGAGTGTCCACCCCACCACACGATGCCGAGGCTTAGTGCAATGGGCTAACAGACCATTTCCCTACGCTCAAATAATGAATACGGGACTACATTTACCAAAGTCTCAAAGCGCTCGAGGTGTGGACTAGCACATACAGTAACATTCTTCTCCCCTAAGGGTCTCTTAGTGTCTGGACTACAACAGAACGATTACTGTCATCAATACGGTACTCATCCTCATCATCATAAAAAAAAATAATATTTTTATTATATTTCTTATAATTTCTTGTCATTATTGTTACTATTATTATTATTCCCATTATTATTCCAATAATAAATAGCCCTAAAACTGTACCGTAGATTATCACAGCAAGTTGTACTTTCAACATAACTATATTTTGATAATTGTATTTATAGCATTTTGCTGATGATAGATACTAACAGTTGTGTGAAAGCTGGTACGGAGGAGGCTCAGTCAGACGAAGAAAAAGGTATATAATCCAAAAAATACGCGAATAAAAGTGAACTACATAATTACAATGTATTTGTACTGTTCACCGCTATAATTAGCACATTAGAATTATTAATTGTCGATATTGATTATTTTTAAATAGGAATATTATTATGTGGTTTCTGATGATAAAATATGACATTGGATATAATACAATATACATGTAACACTAAATAATATTAATTTAAATGCTATTTTAAACAAATATAATTGAGTGTTTTGTGCTAAGGTGCTACTCTGTTGGATGATTATGATTATAAATCATTAATAGGCCTACTATGGTGAATATTATTAGAATAATGCATTATCTCTTATCGCTGACCACCACTTAAAATATAATAATACGCTCGAGGTGTGGACTAGCTCATACAGTAACATTCTTCTCCCCTAAGGGTCTCTTAGTGTCTGAACTACAACAGAACGATTACTGTCATCAATACGGTACTCATCCTCATCATCATAAAAAAAATAATATTTTTATTATATTTCTTATAATTTCTTGTCATTATTGTTACTATTATTGTTATTCCCATTATTATTCCAATAATAAATAGCCCTAAAACTGTACCGTAGATTATCACAGCAAGTTGTACTTTCAACATAACTATATTTTGATAATTGTATTTATATCATTTTGCTGATGATAGATACTAACAGTTGTGTGAAAGCTGGTACGGAGGAGGCTCAGTCAGACGAAGAAAAAGGTATATAATCCAAAAAATACGCGAATAAAAGTGAACTACATAATTACAATGTATTTGTACTGTTCACCGCTATAATTAGCACATTAGAATTATTAATTGTCGATATTGATTATTTTTAAATAGGAATATTATTATGTGGTTTCTGATGATAAAATATGACATTGGATATAATACAATATACATGTAACACTAAATAATATTAATTTAAATGCTATTTTAAACAAATATAATTGAGTGTTTTGTGCTAAGGTGCTACTCTGTTGGATGATTATGATTATAAATCATTAATAGGCCTACTATGGTGAATATTATTAGAATAATGCATTATCTCTTATCGCTGACCACCACTTAAAGTATAATAATAATCTTATCAATATACAGAAGACCAGAGTGAATCTGATGAATCAGAGATCCCATCAGACACGGAGTCAGAACCATCTAGTGACGATGGCAGCGAGACGTCTGAAGAGTCTGAAGAAGGTTCAGAACATTCTGCAGAGTCAGATAAAGAAGGTTCTAAGAACGAAGAAAAAGAAGATTCCAATATTAAAAAGAGCGAAAATGAAGAAAGCGATGATTATGATAGCGATGATGCCTGCTTCGGTAAATAAGCCGTTAACTTGGAACAAGAGTTAAGACTTCTGCCGAGATCAATGTTTTAGGTGCTCAGCCAACAATTATCGTATCAAGGGGTTCAAATCTAACAACAATCTGGGTTTTCTTGTAACTAATGATATAAATTATGATACTATCTCATCCATTCAATCTTGTAAATTATATTTTCTATATATATACTGTCTCTTATACACATCTCATAGGCCTATATCGAAGTATTTTAGCAATATAATCAAAGCTTGATAGTTTACAATTAGGATTTGTTCCTGTTAATCATATTTGGAATTAAGTCTCCTCCTAAGAGTTTGTTCTGACAACAAAAGTTTTCATCCTGGCTTGGGCTCGGGCCCTATGGAGATTTTGTTCTTACCCCGAAAATTTTTCATCTTGGTCCGGGCCCCGGATATTGTTTAAAAAATTATTCGAGCGAGTACGGTACACGTCTCAGTAAAGCAGCTTTAACTGGTAATCCCCACAGCTTAAATAATAAAAAAAAAAGTCAATCTTCACAATTCCAATCACCACTACAAGACCATAGGCCTATATCGTTGCTTTTTTGGAGTAATGTACCCGGATTTATTTTTCAATATAGGAACAAAAATGATAGCATTGGAGAGCTCTTCTGGCATAATGATCAATCAAAATTCAAAGGTTCCATCTCTGTATGTGTGGATGATTTTCAGCAATGGAAGTTAAAATAAAAGCCATGTTTTTTAAGGAAATAAAAAACTATTGCACATATCGCTCACTTATTTCAACTTCTGATTTAAATTTTTGCAGTTGTGGCACGTTGTAAGTTTCTAGAAGCATTACTGAAATTAATTAAACTGCTCTAGCTCATAGAACCTTTGTATAAATGCCACAGTGAGCCACGACTCAGGGCTAAAAAGCTTCTCTTTATGAACAGAGTTATATTCAATATCGATTAAAAAAGATGATGAATCATTTTACTATCTTATTATCTTTATTCATGCTTATTATGAACATTTGTATAGGTATAATCACCACCACCACCATAGTAATAATAATAATAATAATAATAATGATAATGGTGATGATAATGACGATGATGATGACGACGATGATGATGATGATGATGATGATGATGATGATGACGATGATGATGATGATGATGATGATGATGATGATGATGATGACGATGATGATGATGATGATGATGATGATGATGACGACGGCGGCGATGTCGACAATGGCGGCGGCGGCGACGATGAAAATGATGATGATGATGATAATAATATTAATAATAATGACAATAATAATAATAATAATAATAATAATAATAATAATAATAATAATAATAATAATAAGGTCAAATAACAGTTTAGAATACACGATTGATTGACTAGTATTATTCGAACGGAGACAATAACGTCCTAATAAATTTCGTCAGACCTTGGTAATACGACATCAATACCTGAACTTTCAATGTATAGTCATTGTTGTTGGTAACTGTTGTTAACTTTTGGATTAAGTTATGGATTATCGATAACGGATACATATATCGAACATCTATACTGTCATACATTATCACAACAAACGAGTCTTTCACTGCAGTAGGAATGCCGCTAGACGCCACATTGATAATCCACACACGTCTTTACTCAGATTATTAAACATAATGGATATAATCTTTAAGGTAAGTCATACAACACAAAAACTATTATTGTACATTATAATTTACTTTCATATATTTTTTGCTCTTTTAACTTAAAAGTAGAGTTTAAAAATACGCTTTTGACAATTCTTAGCAGTTGTTACTTATTCTTGTTTAATATACTTAATTTTTTTTTCTTTGACGTTTCATCTGGCAATGTTTTATGCCGAAATTAAATAAATCAAATCAACTCAAAGCTGCAGAGTCACTTATAAATGCATCTATAAAAACATTGATAAAGATGATGGTTACAAATTTATTATTATATATCATTAAGGCCTATTATAACGGTATACTGTATATTTATTATTATTCTAAAAGGGATCCAGGATATTGGAAATATAATAATAACTATTAGAAAAGTTATTATTAAAATTCAAAAACAATGAAAAAACTCTCGGCCCAGATTTAAATTGGGAATTAATAAAAGTCAGAGTTAAAGACGTTTAAATTTTTTATGGCAAAAAAAAAATAATAAAGAAAAAAAAAAGAAAAAGCGAAAAAAAAAAACCAAAAAAAAC